GGGTCTTTTCCCTTGTTATTTCTGTCGCCCTATATATAGTAAAATAAACACTGGCGCTGCCAGTACTGTTACATTGCAAACCTTCTCTCTTCTCTCCTCTCTTCTCTTCTCTTCTTCTCTTCTCTTCTCTCCTCTCCTCTTCCACTTATCTCTGGCCGGCTACACTGTCAAGAAGATTCAGGTCTGAAATCCCTAAAAGTCCAACTTGTTTTGTAGTTTTAAACTTGGTATTACTTGTGATTGTTGCTTTACACTTGAAGTGCTGCATGTAATTTGTTTTTCTGTCCACATCACAGTGTATCCATTAGCCAAAGTTTCTTCGAAAAAACTCTTCACCCTTAACCCTTCAACACCTACCCGAGCTCACATCGCCCATTTCTCTATCTCCCTCACCTCCTCCATGTCCTCTTCAAATCTTCCCGTTAAACATCTTTTTAGAAAAACTTTCTGTTAGTTTGGTGACTTGCTCCAACTAGACCTAGAAATATGCTTGTTAGCCTCATTAATGTAAAGGTTCTTACATGAACACTGAGTGGGAAATCAAAATTTTGAATTTTAATAGATTTTTTTCTGATCCATAATAAATCTACAAATTCATTTAAACTGGTTTTGGACATTCCACTCAACACTTGTATCAGATAAACTTTTAATTATTTTTTTAATTGGTAATTTATACTAGTATTTCTCTTCTTCATTTTCACAAAATTATGTTGCTTTACATGGGCCATGCTGTCAATTGGTCTCTAAGAATTTAAAGTTCTTGTAGTTGCAAGTGTTACCTTTTCTTTTTGCTTTTTCCAATGCCATAGCATTTTCTCTTTATGAAAAAGGAAACACATCAAAAAGCAAAAATAAAAATGGAAAAGAAACAATGGTCAATGGAATCAGTATCTCCTTGACCTTTCCTGCATTTAGTTTAGATATTTGTGAGTTTCTGTATGTTTCTATAATACATCGTATACTTATACTGACACCATGGCCAAGACAGATATTTAAACCTTGAGCATAGCCAACTGAATTAAAGAATAAGTAACTTGGCATGATGAATGCATTCAAGGGAACATACACAAAGAGGTATCAGTACTAGTTGTACATCCTAGAGACGATATATGCAATTGTTTGTCACTCATAAATATACTCGTTCATTAATATTCAAGATAATATTGATCAGACAGTTTTAGTAATACCTAAAGTGTTATTTTATGCCAATACTAAAAGCATTCAATGTATTTTAACAGGTTAGTACTTCATTAACTCAGAATTTATAGAACCATTAAAGAGTCAATGGAAAACAATGATTATATCATCAGCTCCCATTTAAACAAATACAGTTGATGTGTATCTAGTAATTCAAACTATTCTATTTGATTGCATAGATTTTGTAGACCTCATTTGTTTGATATCAAGTATTCATTTGTGTAGAAAACATACCTGGGGTTGACCTGATAGAACAATTGTACGGATTTTTAGAAGAGCAACATTCAGATTCTGGAGGTAATTTTCCAAGTCAAGCATGGCTTCTTTTACGGCTATGATCTTTTGAATAGTGTTTGAAGGTGGCTGATCGTGAATTGTAACTTTCCCAAAAGATCTTCCAAGACGACCTTGCTCTTTAAGCCCCTTTAATAATAGCATGACAGCTGCTAGAATTATCAATGCCACTGGTAATGCATATGACAGCAAGTTTCTGGAGAAAAAATGACAGAACCTAAATGTTGATATGTTCGCAAAGCCCATTACATCAAAAGCTATATTAAAATGACAAGCTAGTGAAATATCAATTACAACATTAAACCATGCAATAATAATGAAAAAAGGTGGAAATGAATTCTTTACATAGGCAGATATTTTCTGATGAATAATAAAAAAAACTCTTTTTGGATGTATCAAAAGAGAAAACTTCTGATCAAAAAAAAAAAAAAAAAGAGAGAAGAGCAAAGAACTGCAACAAGGCACCACATTTGTTTTCTGATTAGAGTTCAGTTAGATGAAAGAGAGGAGAACAAGAGATGGTTGGTCAGAAAGCAATAAGTCTCTCTCCCTAAACTAGTTGACTTTCTAGTCAAATTGAGGTCTGCTGACTACATCATTCTTCAGTCAATACCCATGATGTGGTCTAGGTTGACTAGGCTAATTAATAGCCTGACACCAGGGACTGTATATAGGTATATATAATTTTATCTTATAATATTGGAATTCTCCTTTTACATGGTATCTTCCTATCGATTTCTTAGGCCACATGATCAATATTGCAATTTTACATACAAGCCTCTTTTCACAAAACATCTTGCCTTTTGGGAGTGGAGGTCAATGGATTTAAGACAACTCTTACAAGCTCTATATGTTTTGGGTTCTTCCTCATGCTCTTGGACTCTTGTCTTCTTAGTTTATAGACTTGGATCCTAGAGAGTTTTGATCGCTCCAGCCAAGTTATAAGTTAAAAAAATAAGAAGAAGGGCAGAGCATTTGTTTTGTCTTCTTCCATATTCATTTTGTACATACTATTGTGCATGTATGGTTTATTGTGCACTTTAAATAAGTTACCATAAACAAGAGAACCACTTTGCTCAGTCAAGGTGTGTGTATCTGTATGAAGAACAAACTATCTCAGTCCTACCTCAGTCTATCCAATATTTCCCTTCATACTTGCTAAATGTACTATATCATTATCTTTTATTGTATGTTTGTTATCTACATTAACCATATGACACTGCATCATCATCATCTTATATTTCACACATATACATTTTAAGGTTGATTAATCCACACCTAGGAACTAACTACTTAATACATAGCATAGGGAGGCCCAAATGATTAATTGCCACCTAATCTCATTGACAGTACTGATGATTAAATGTTGATGCTTTTTAAGTATCAGGCATATCCATGGTTTGCAACGACAAACATTTTGTCATTTAGAATTGGAGAAATTTTGGAGATATTTTGCTATTTTCACTAAGATATTTGGAAAATCTAAAAAATCAGGAAAGTTTTCTATAAACATAGAATTAGTTAATAAACCTTCAAGAGAACATTAGAAGAAATATAATTGCACAATTTAAGGCTCAAAACCATAACAAAGAACTATGCAAATCAAATAGGAAAAATTAAGAGATTGTAATAGGTATGTTTCTATTTGTCTCCCTTTTGGTCTTTGGCCATCTTCTCTTCTTTATATATGTCAATTATTTGCCATTTTAACTTTTCTCTTTATTGTTATTATATGTTTTGATTAGATTGAGAATAACTCTTTTGTAGTTATATGCATTTTTCTTTTGCTTTTGAATTACAATGACTTAGTAAGTGAATCATATCAAATTAAGCCAATTGCCTAATCACCAATTCCTATTGGTTCTTTTAGGAAAATATTTTTAAAAAATTATGATGGTTTAATAAAATATTGAAAAGTTTTAATAATATTGTAAAATTTTAAATATATAGTCCGTCAATGAAATCTGAAATATCACCAACATATAGGCAAAATATCAGGCATATTTGAAAAAAAAAAAGATTCCTGAAAGATTTCGTATCACCACCTAGCAAATTGGGATATTTTAGGGATATATCACCATTTTTGATACTTCTTATAATAATGTGGCACTTATGGCATAGACGTTTAGACCACACTTATGCTAAAAACTTAGACTATTCGTTTTCTTCTGGTTGTTTGTTCATGACTATTTTTTATCAGCAAAGCAGAATTTTATTTGAAATTAGAGTTAAAAAAGTTTTACAACYTTGCGTATAGGATTAGAGCTCCCACACTATTACATATTTCTGTCCCTCTTTACATTGCAACCCAAAACAATTGTTGCCTCAAAGCCCCTTGTTTATCAAGATAATTAGCTAGCCCATTTGCACTCCTTCTAACCCATTTGAATTCAGCCTCTACCTCCCTTGTGATCTTTCCACTTCCCTTGTCACTTGTTTGAAAGTCCACGGAATAGTTCTATTGTTTTTAGCCCAAGAGATGATCACCTTGGAGTCCCCTTCAACCTCAATATGCCTCATTCCTAGTTGCTTAGCTATCTTCAGTCCTTGTAGCAATGCCATTAACTCATCTTTTAGAGAGTTGCCCATGCCAATAGGTCTAGAGAACAATGCTAATATTCTCCTTTCAGAATTTCTGATTACTCCCCCAATACCTGACAGTCCCGGATTTCCAAAAGAACTTCCATCAAAATTCAGTTTAATTCTGTTACCATCTGGAGGTTACCATTCCATCCTTACTCTCTCTTTCACTCTTGAAGATTGTGCTACTTCTGTCCAAGATCTTATAATGTCTATGACTGAGAAATCTTGAAAGATATGCAAAGATCTTACCCAATGAGCTACTTTAACATTAATTGTTTCGATTACCTTCAAGCAAGCACAAGGATTGACTCTCCTCCTAGTATATGTTGACGATATTTTTATCACAGGCGATGATGTGGAAGGCATTAATAACTTGCAACTCATCGAAAATGAAAGATCTTGGGCCGGTCACCTATTTTCTAGGCCTTAGAATTCAGCAGTGTCCTCAAGGATATTTTGTTAACCAACAAAAATATGCCTCTGATTTAGTTGCAATGGCTAACGTAACTGATTCTAAACAACTTGATACACCTCTAGAGCTCAATCGGAAGCTAAGTAAGGATGAGGGTGAGCTCCTTCCTGATGCTACATTATATCAACAACTTGTAGGTAGTCTTATCTACCTCACTATGACTAGACCGGATATTTCCTATGTTGTCCAACTAGTTAGCCAATTTGTTTTTGCTCCATGCCAGCCCCACTTTTCAGCAATTTTCCAGATCATTCATTATGTCAAGGGAACAATGTCTCATGGTTAACTCCGAGCTTATGCCAATGTTGATTGGGCAGGCTGCCCTGACACTCGTCATTCTACTATTGGCTGGTGTATCTTCCTTGGGGATTCTTTGATTTCTTGGAAATGCAAGAAACAACAAAAGGTTTCCAAGTCATCTACTAAAGCGGAGTATAGAGCAATGTCTTCTGTATGTAGTGAAATAATTTGGCTCAAGGCTCTACTTTGTGATATGGACATTGATCATTCATCTTCCATCCCTCTATTTGCTGATAACATGAGTGCTATCAAGATTGCATACAACCCTGTTTTTCATGAGCACACTAAACACATTAAGGTGGATTGTCATCTCATTCGTGACCTTCTACTTGYGGGTCACATCTCTCTCCCACGTCTCCATGGGCTTGTAGCTTGCATATCTCTTCACCAAAGCTATGACTAAAGTCCGACATAATTTTCTTATGGACAAATTGATGCTTGTTCCCCAACATCAGTTTGAGGGGAAGTGAAGAGAAGATGGAGGGTAATTTTGCACTTTTACTCTCTTTGTTGTATATTATTATGTGTGTATATTAATATATTGCCTTGTCTCTTTATTTCTTTTGTAAGGACAATCTTGTCCATTCACCTTTTAATATAAATTCATATTTTCTGGGTTGGTTCAATCATATTGATGAACCCTAACAGATCTAAAGTTTCTTTGCTCTCTCTTGTTGGCTTCTTTTTCTCATAGATTAACACATCTAATACCTATTAAATTAAAAGAGTAAATAAAAAAATAAAAAAAGAGGGAGTATTAGTCATATCAATACACATTGAAACCCACTTTAAGGTATTGGGTGTATTTGATATTCCTTGGAATTGTCTAGTTCTCCAGAAAGTTACACTATTATGGATGATTCCATAGATAAAGAAAAGAACGAAGAAAAGAGAGATCAAATATTAGATTTCCTTATATAATTAAAATGTTTAAGGCATAAATAGACCCAAATACACGTGTACTTTTGAAAATCTCACATGTGGTAGCTACCTAAGTGTTCAACTCCTATCAATGCATCATGAAGTTGAGATTGAGATTGATACAACTTGAGACTAATAGTGAGAGGGAAATTACTGTAATATCAAGGAAGTTATAACTAATTGTAGTTATTGGATTTTTGTTTTTGAATAACACTTAAATCCATGTTCTTTTCAATGGCATGCATCTCATGTGCTGGATGAATTTCTCCACTTTAGAATTCAATGTGACCTCATTTGTAACCTTGGTTCAATAATTCATAACAAGGGAAAATTGAAGAGGATGTGGCCCATAAAATTAGAGCAGGATGGGAAAAATGGAGGGGGTGCATCTAGAGTCTCATGTGATAGAAAAATAACATTTGCGCTGAAAGGGATGTTCTATAAAACAGTTAGAAAGCCAGTAATTTTGTATGGAGCAAACTGTTGGGAAGTCAAGAAGCAGCATGCCCACAAAATGAATGTGGTAGAAATGTGAATGCTGAGATGGATGAGTGGAAAAACTAGAAAGGACAGGGTCAGAATGAAGTCATTCAATGGAACCTAGGAGTTGTTCCTCCAATAGGTGATAAAATGATTGAAAGGAGACTACAATAGTTTGGTCATGCGCATAGTAAGAACTTATACAAAACACGTAAAAGGAAATAATCTATCTATTACAAATTGAAGGGACTCAAAGAGCTAGGGATAAACTGAAAAGGACATTGGTTGAAGTAGACTAGTAAGAAATGATTTAAGCACTCATAATCATGGTTTAAAATGTCCCTAATTTCCAAAATATTTCCATGACATATTTCCATTTCCATGAGTAGTGACACGAAGTTTTATCGGAATCGACATTTCTCCAATGAACACTACCAGCACTATGTGGAGTACAACAAATAGTTTCCACAACATATTTCCATTTCCACTTCCATGGGTAGCGACATGAAATTTTATTGGAATCAACATAAGTTGGAATCAACATATTGTACCAACTTATGTTATAATACTAAGTAACAATTTTATTGTCCCCCTAACTTACATGATTACCACTTTGAGCTATCTCAATATTCATTTCAAACATGAAGTTGAATATTAGTTTTTTGTTTGTGTAATAGATTATTTGGTTTATCTATTACAACCATTTACATTTTCTATGAATTAAAATTTTGCTTTAACTCATTTTATCATGAAGCTTTGAATCTTTAAAGTTTACAGGGCAACTTTAGAACGTATTCTTTTGTCTATAACCTTAGTTTCTTAGCTTTGTTTAATGATTTGCAACAAAATAATAATTTAAAAATGTGTGCAAATATCTTTCTATATTATGCATATTTTAAAATATTTCCACCATGTCTATAATTTTTACAATATTTCCATACGATATTTCCGACATGTTTCTTATTTTAAATCTTGCTCATAATTTAGCAATTGATATGGCACTTAACTAAGCCTTCTCAAATAATCGATTTATATGATTTACCATACAAAACACTATTCTAGAGGAGTTTGGGGAACCAAAAAGTAATGGCATGAAGGTTATTAAAGTAGTACAAATCTTTTTAGCCTACCTAAAGATTATGGTATAGGCAAGCGCAAGAAAGGACACTGTCAAATGTGGCTCTTCCCAACGTCTAAGCTTTTGAAAATTGCTGGCAACAACCGCCAATGGAAGCATAAGTTCCTAATTAATGCCAAACAATCAAAATGTTGGACCAATAAATCACATAGAGAAAGAGAAAAATCAATTATACTAACTATCCTAAAAGTAGCCAAGCATATCAAAAAATATTTTAATTCACTGCATAGACTGCAAGCCCATTATATTGACTACAAGAAAACAAAGTCTCAATGATCAAGGCACACATGGAATTCTGACAACATTTCCTACTTGGTGATTGTAGTGATTGTGTTTCATAAGAACTATAGGGTTTAATAATGTCTAATTCCTTTACATTTTTCCTACACAATACTTTTCTATACTTGTAAATGGAGCTTCAAATGGCTATTTCATAGCTACGGTCACAAGGTTATAAATCAACTATCAGATAGAAAAAACTTGTTTACACTTATTTGAGATATTCAATTTTTTTTCTTTTTTACTTAAGTTTGTTGGTCAGCTTAAAACTTATTAATCAGAAAAGAGAAGGCTGAAGAGAGAAGAGAGGAGAGGAGCAAAAGAGAAGAAAAGAAGTTTGAGAGCAAAAAGATTAAATTAAGCTAGCAGCACCAACCACTGCAGTTAAATTAGGGTGACCATAAAATAAGTAGAAATTACAACAGTACCCCTGCAATATTGATATTTAACATAAAACAACCTTTTAACACTCCCCCTCAAGTTGGGACATAGATGCTAATCATGCCCAACTTGTCACATAAATCATTGTGCCGCAAGTGATGTAAGCCCTTTGTGAATATGTCTGCAAGTTGCTATTCAGAACTGATGTAGGACATACACACTTCCCCTTTGACAAATTTTTCCTTGATAATGTGCTTGTCTACTTCAATGTCCTTGGTTCTATCATGTAGAACTGGGCTGGCAGCCTTGTTATCACAATACAAACTCGTAGGTTCATCAACAATAAATCCCAGCTCACTCAACAAATTCTTTAACCACATAATCTCAGCTACTCCATGAGACATTGCCCTATATTTAGCTTCAGCACTAGACCTCACTACCACATTTTATTTTTTGCTCCTCCATGTGCATAGGTTCCCTCCCCACAAAGGTGTAGTAGCCACTAGTAAATTTCCTATCATCTAGTGATCCTGTCTAGTTTGCATCTCTATACACTTCAACCTTCAAATGCCCATGCTTTTGAAACTGTAGGGATGAGAGATTCATCATATGGATGACCAAACCCTGTAGGAAGGTTGGGCGAAACTTCAAAAATTTCTCTCTCTCCCATGTGGGAATCGCATTCCCTATTTTAGAAAACTGCATTTTCAAGGATCAATCTTGAACCTAAACTAGACCAGATCTGAAACCAAAAGGGAGTGGAGGAATATACCTGATACGAAGTAGTAATAACCTCCAATGAAGGTGTTCACGCAAAAGGAAAAATCCAAAGACTGCTTCCACCGAATATGACACGGTGCAGGATGAAGCAGAATCAGCAGGATGGTTCTTCAGCAAGAACCGAATTCTTCAACAAGAATCTGATGGAGGGCTAGTGAGCACGACTTCAGATTACCTTTTCTGCCAAAAGGTAATATCAAGAACTCTTCTTGATCGCTCCCACAGGTGGAGATCGAACTGGTATGGCGGCAAGAGCAGGAGAGAAGGAGACAATGCAATCAAACTGTGTTGTCTCTCTCTAGAATTCAGTAGTCAGTCAGATGATTCCTATTTTTTTTTTTCTGAGGGTTCGCCCTACTCTCCTATTTATAGCCTTAAAGAGAGGTTCTCCTAATCCCATTAGGAGTTTCCTAATCCAAATCTTGTATTTGGATTTGTATCTTATCTGCAGATAAAGATCAGCCCTCCTAATCTAATTAGAAGTTTCCTGATCCAAATCTTTATTTGGATCTGGACTCTTTGAGTGGATAGGAATAATCCCTTATCCTATCTACTGATCTAAATCCTAGAAGCACCCTTTTTTATTTAATATCATTAAGCCAGTTCGAATTGGGCTTTAGGCCCATTAAGTCCATCTGCTCACTTACCCTCCAAACTACTGCCCAGTTGGATRTCCTTGTACGGCGTGGGACCCAAACATTGATCTACACATCAGCCAGATGGGTTCAGCCCAGCCGCTGTTACAAGGCCAGACGAATTCATTGTAGGAGACAGTGAACCCCTGAGTCCTTCACCATGGACTCTTAATGGGCCCAACATTTACACTAAATAGTCCTTGAGTTAAGCCACCTTATAAAAACCCAAGGACTGTGGGCAGATACAAGATTAGCCCATCAGGTATTACCCTCAATGGTCTTACACTTACCTCTTAGCCCATAATGATCAAACACTGCCCGACAAGAGAGGACATCTCCCTCGGCTGCAAGGTACAGTGCTGTACTCTCTACTCACATGGATCCGGGGAATTAAAACCTTTTGCAAACATTTTGAAACCAT